AATATATCTATAAATATATTTTAATAATTTTTTTGTATAAAATATGCTTTTAATATATGGCATAAATTTGACAATTTTATTTATTTTATATACATACTTGAGATTGATAATCTTTCTATATGGACAACTTTTGGCCATAGGAAGAGCAACAACTGTAAGCGTTTGTGGAAGTAATAGCTCTTTTAAGAGGCACCGCTCTTGTATAAAAGTTGTTTTGAGAGCTCGTCGTGCGAGAGTCGCGCTGACAAAGAATCCGTATCGTCCTTTGACAGCTTTCATAAGTCCGGTTCTCGTTTCCAAACGAGATTCGCGACTATTGAACGCCTTTATGTACAATTGACGCAGATTACTATCGTTAGCATTCTGAAAGAAGAGATATAATATGCGAACAACAATTATAATACATCTGAAACGAATACAAGCTATTACGCACGAGTAATTTCTTTAAACAAGATTTTTTAAAAAACTTTTAAAGATTTCTAAAATAAAACTTTTGACAAAGTAAAATGTCAAAAATCTTAACATTTTATAAATATATTTTAGCTTTATTTTTACCTATTTACCAAGTTTATTTGCGTTCTTAAAGTCTAATTTTGTTTAACACCATGTAAATAATACTTATTATTTTTGTCTGCGCTGAAGATGGTCTCAAAAAAAGACCGAAACGTTCGCGACTTTTATTATATATGTTTTTTATTCTTCAATAAAATCAATTGCGCCCTATATACTGCGCTGGCTCCCAATTGCCTATTCTAATGCTCTTTCTTAATTGTTATAAATATTTAAAATTATATCCAAGTATAATCAAGTGATAATAATAATAGTACTTTTACATAATATTACTCTTATGTATGTATCGTCGGCAGCACTGTATCCTAGTTTAAAGTTATTAAGGAGAAGATCCGTGATAGATTTGATTCCTGTGACCTGTACCGATAATATGGATGTGATAAAGCCTGCGTAGGCATTGTATATTACGAGAGAGAATATTAAACTGAATAACAGCAGGGTCTTTCCAGATGGGGTTCGAGGACTCCAAGGTGATCCTAAAAATTCCAATTGTTGTATTTTAAATTCCAATGGATGTATTTTATACCTTACGAAATTAACATACAGATATGAATACTCTATATCTGAGCTAATAAACAATTTTTCAATTTAAATAAGTAAATGTATAAAAAAATACATTTATTTATAACCAGATAAATAGCGATGTTTTTGACAGATAATTTCAATATTATAATGCTATTTTTTTTTTAAATGCGAAAAGTGATACAATTAGTATAATATAATAACATCAATGTGTTTTATGATACAAAGAGATAAAAAGAAAAAGAAGACCTTGCATGCACATGATACTCAAGCACCAAAGAGCAGACTCCCCGATCCCAATATATCTTTGGTCTTTATGCAAAATCGTTTTTGTGACGTAAATCACCGTCGCCATTGCGATTAACATAATGAAATATGTTCCCGCCACGCAGCCGAGTAATCGGTTGTCAAACGGTTGCAGAAATATATCCCTCATCGTGCCGGTCTCCAATGGATGATAATAAATGTTCCTCCTGCGTTAGATATTGATAATAATCGTGCAGTGAAGAATCACTTTAGAAGTGTGTATAAATGTATATAACTATACTTATAAAATTTCAAATATCTTCTGCTATTTAATAAGCATTTTCATTCGTTCCGCTACACATTTTTCCTAACTTATTATTCGGCAAAAATAAAAAAAAAAAAAAATCAATTTTTAAAGCGTTTTTCAAATGACATTTATATTTTTATATTGCTTTGACTTCAAATATAAATGCGGGTAAATTACAAATTTTTAGACAATATTTATATTTAGAATAATTTTTCTTATTAAATTCGGTGATTATCTATACGTTAATTCACACCAATTTGACAATACGTTGGTGAGAAATGTAAATTATAATTTTAGTTATCTCTCTACCAGTTATCTCTCTACCTATCACAACCAGAAAAAAGAATATATTTGCATTGAATATATTTACATCAGGAAATGAGTTCAAAATAAATTTTTTGATTTTACTTAAAATTTTTACTGACATGTAACGTATCAGAGGATGACTAAATGTCATTTCTGTCCAACGTTCCTCGTCGTTTGATGTTATGTACCCCAAACCAATATCAACGGTACCTGCCACAACGTCACCGAGAAGATGGCTCCATACTTTGTTAGTTAACGTACCAAGCTTTTCATGCGGTATTAATTCGATACTGCAAAAAAGTTGATAGATAGTTTTGTTTTGCAAAGGATTATTCTACTCTTCCGGACTTTAATTTAATTTTTTGAAAATTTATTATTTTTACGGTATTTATTGTCGAAAATTAAAAATAGTCTGTGTTGAAAAAATATTTAAGAAAATAGATTAACTGTTTTCAAAGTATTTTCAAAAATTTGTACGGGATTGGGTGTATACCTGGATGTTTTCAAAAAATATTGGCATTTTATATATACTAGAGTTAAATACTTTTTTACCTGGCGTTCACGCTGTTGGTGACAATAGTGGCGAAATCCAAAAGCGGTTCGATGTCATTAACGGTAGCTTCTGCTTCGGCAATGTCTGTCTGCCCATCACTGGTTCCATTCAATACGCCAAAAATAATGGGAAGACCCTTGAAATCGCTTCTCAGCTTCACGCTTATTGGCGGCTTAAGGGTGTGAGAGTCCGGATTCCAAAAACCAAGATATCGAACAATGAGACTCGTATTGTCAGAGTGACGTATTTTGTAAGTGTGCATCAGATAAAATGATACTGAACGATTCTCTAAAGTAGCGTAGCTCAGATTGATCGTGGCGTTTTCGACGTTACGTCGTTTTGATGGTCCTGTAAATTTGAAACGATCGCCGTAACGTCGGAAAGATCGACATATCCTGTAATACAATTTACTTGATCATTATTTAATTTAAATGAATTATTAATATTGTCATAGTATAGTGTAATAGATACTTGTTTTAAAAAATGCAAGAAAGGATTTGTATTCAATTTCAATAATTTAAATTAGTTTTAGCATTTTTTGTTGTTTGTATATATATATTGTATATAAATACACACATACATACATGATCAAATGAAAATTTTGGTATGACATAAAATTGCACTAACTTACTTATCTCGATATTTCTGTGCGTATTTCCAAGAGACAGCATCATTCAATAGTGGCGAAGTAGCTACAACTACATCGCTATCGATACCAATATTCAAGTCTCGAAGAACGGTGTCGATAGTGGAGTCAGTGTTTCTTGTGGTTACCATAAGCCAGGATATGTAATAGTTGAACAGAAATTTCTGGGAAGCCTATCGAAATATTCGCTCTAATTATTCTAGCATTGACAAAAGGTTTATCACTTAGCGTAATTTTTTATAAAATTGTATTTTTGTAGAGTAGTTATCAAGATGTTAATAATTTTCGAGCCTTAAGCCATCGAAATCAAATAAAATGTAGAGATATAAATAAATAATGAACAAGATTTTAAAGCTTGATTAATAAGATATAGAATAAGAAAATTTAAAAACTTATGAAAAATGATAATTTATCTCGACATTACTAAAAAAAACAAGTTTTAAATTAAAAAAAAAACTATTAAAAAAAGCATTTCCACTAATTTATTTTTAAATTGTTTTGAAGATATTTAGTTGAAAAGAAGATAATGCGAAGATTGTAATAATTGAAAAACATATATTTGAAGTGAAATATTAATATAATAAAAAATAAAGAGACTAAAATAAAAAAATTTCTATTGTAAAACAAAATTATTGATTGTAATATGTTTGTTATCTAGAAAGTAGAAGTATAATTATATTAATTCCGCCGTAGGGAATAATTCAGTGACCATAAAAGAATTGTTTTA